GTCTGAGGGTGACGGAGCCCTGGCCCAGGCTGCCCAGGGAGGCTGTGGAGTCTCCTTCTCTGGAGATATTCCAGACCCCCCTGGACGCGGTGACCCTGCTTCAGCAGGGGGCTGGACTAGAAGACCCACAGAGGTCCCTTCCAAACCCCTGCCATGCTGGGATTCTGTGAGTCTGTTTTGACACTCAGCATCACTTTCTCCGTGTCTCAGGGAAACTCTCAGAGTCTCTGGTGCTGTCCCATGGGCGAGGTGAGCGGGCACTGCTGCCGCCACAGAGCTGGGCGAAGGGATTCAAGCTGGCACCGACTCTTCATTGTGGAAGTCAGGGCCTGGTTTCTTTGAATGGCGAAGCAGCATGAAATGCTGAAGATAATATTCAGACCATACTTCAAGCACTCGATTTAGAGCGCGGGAGTGTAGAAGTGTCAAGGTTATGGCTGTTTGTGGAACTTCGTTTTGGTCCGCGCGTGTTTGAGAGGCGACTTTTGACAGGATTGCTGTGTCATGTAAGGCACTGAATGGAGGGTGCACACGAAATCTGTCAGTGTAATGAATAAAATTAGCTGTGTAGAACACCTTCTTTTTTTACTCCTTTCTTATACAGCTGGAAAGTAGAAGGCACGTGTCCTAATTCAAGGAAAAAAATATTGGATGGCCTCCTTGGAGAACTGAATGCCACTCTCTCCCCTTCCGTAAAATTCTTACATGGTAGTGGAGAAGTGGCTTTGTGCTCACTGAGGTAGCTGTTTCGTATTTAAGACCTGTAAACTGAGAAATGCATGGCAAAACTGCCACAAGTGCTGAGTGTTTGTCGCTGCAGATTAGATCAGTATAAGCAAGGCGTACACAGGTGTTCCTGTGAAAAGAAAACCAAAACCACCGAGCTTCAGACAGCTAGAATTTTTGCAGCACATTGGACACTTGGTTTGAAATCTGTCTGAGTTTCCTAAGTATCAACATGGAGACATCGTTCTGCCGGGCCTCAGATGAGGCCTTAACATGGCAGCTGTATTTTTGTATGCAAGCATGAAGAAGTAACCATCAACAACCTCTGTCATTAGCTTTTGACAGAAGTGGCACTGAAAAAACTTTTAACATATACTTCAATAGTCAGAGTTAAATGGCTGTGTTTATTCCGTAGATTTCTTGATTGGCAATGATGATTAGTGGAGTTTTCTATTTTGTACCTGTTGCACCTTTTGTACCTTCACTATTGAGTTGTCAGCACTGTAAAGATTTTCATTTTAATTCTTGTAAACTTTTACTTTCTTGTAAACAGTTGTTATTAACTACTACTAGCTACTAACTGTTACTAAACTGCTAACTAATAGCAGTTTTATGCCACAGGGCTCTTAACAGGCTGGAGAAATCTTCAGCGTACAGTACCATAAATTTCAGCACACAAGACTGTAAACTAGGTACCAGTGAAGAAGTTGCACACCTATGTGATGACCATTTGTTACCTTTGAGAATTAAGTATTTTCTGGTTTTTATTTGTTTTTTCTTGTCTCCAGCAAATAAAATGTGTGGAATCAAAGCAACTGAGACCTCAAACATTTCACATTTCATATTTAAGCTTTGTCTCTCGTTTTCAGACCCATACTTGTTTTTACGCTTTCTGTTCTACAGTACATGTGGTATCTTCTACAAAAATTCAGAAGTAATTTTTAGTCCCACACAAATGGTATCCGACTTATAAAATTTCTAACTATATTTTAAGGAATATTAAGAATGGCTGTGCAGCTCGCATGTCCTCAGTTCTTTAAGAAGTCAAGATCAGAGGAATAGGTATTCCTTTTAGTCTTTCACAAAAAGCGTTTGTTTACAGTATTTCAGGTGCCCATCTTTGTAAGACTTCTGTAACCACTTATTTCTTAATTTGATTTCCTAGAGAGACCAAAAAAAGGGAAATTTCAATTTCATTCCACTGTTCTAGCTTTCTACTCTGTACTTCTTGTTTCCTTCATGTTCTACGGAATTGTATTACCACCATGTCTTTTGCCTTGAAATTTCATTTCTTACATTTTCCCATAGATAGTGATTTTACTTCATGTCTTCATATGTTTGACTTCATGTGCAGTTATCTTCCTCCAGGCCTCGGTGGGTTTGCCATGATCAGTGTGAGCACTGTTGAACCTTGTCCTTAAATCTCACAACCTCTTTCTGCAAGCTTTCACCACTTTATCCTTAACTTTGCAACTTAGGGTTTGGGGTTTGTTTTCTCATTTTTTGTCCCTCACTAGCCTTTTGACTTGCTATGTTGAAAATTTTATGTAATTTCTTGCAGTAATTGTGATAGTGATACAATCCATGCGTAAACGTCTCTTCCATTATAAAATATGATCTGACAGGTTTTTTTATCTAGCGGAAGATATTTTGCATTATGTTCTTCAAATATTTTCCATCATGCAAAAAAGTTTATCAGTTGACTGATAAACAATTTTAGAGTTAAAAAAGTTATTCATTAGAGCTTTTTTCTTCTGTTGCCTCAACATAACGTGTGTCTACTTGTTTAAGCAGTGTCATTTGACAAAATAAATATCACAATGCCATAGGCAAATTTTGGGCAAACATTTAGTAGGCACAGCTTTGTGAAAAAAAAAAACAACACCCAAAACAACAGAAGCTACACTGAAAAGTCAGTCATAAAAGCTAAAACAGTGTGAAGTGTCTCCACACTGCCTTCATGTGGAGAAAAATCTAACTTTGTGCCCTGTTTTAAGTCCATTTTTTAAGTCTGTCTTCAGTACGAAGCACTGACTCTGTCTTTGTGTAAACAACGAAGGAACTTAAATTTTCTTCTATAGTGATAAGGGATTACAAGAATTAGAAATAATATAAATCCACAGAAGCTAGAATAGCTTCTTAAGAATAATCGTTCTTCTATAAACGTACCTGTAGTTTCTTTCATGAGCTGGGGAATATAGGAATGGCAGAACAGGCATTGTGAAAATTGTTGCTTTTCTTCAAGCCTTACTGATTATGTAAACTCTCAGTTACCATAATTATGTATCATCATTTGTACTTATATTTAAGAACATCTTATGGTCTTTTCCAGAGGTATTATTTGTGTTTGTTCCATGTAATCATTTTTATGACATAGAACATTTCTTTTTCTGAATATTGTAAGCTCAGCCTATCTTCTATCTCCTTGCACTCTGCCCTCCTGCCAGCTCCCATTCCGTTAATGTGAGGCAGTGATTCGGTGTTGGGGGACAAACGTAGAGAGCACAGAGCGGTGTTCAGCAACTTGTTCAGTAATTCTGCTGTAAGTTATGCCAGGCTATGCGCTTTATGTGTATTAGTTCACTCATTAATGAATTAGTGAACTGCACTTCATGAGTGCACTTTCAGTCGCTCATGACTTGGAATAAGGCTTTGTTTGTTTGTTTTTTCTTTTAAAATACAGGTAGTGGAATGGTTTCACTTTGCATTTAATACTTACCTTTCCTAACACGTAAAGTTCAAGTTTCTTGTCGTTGCCTGACATGAGTTGGTCCCTGGCTGCTTGGACCTTCTTTCTTAATCATACTTCTGTTCTTCTGCCCTGACCTAAATCCTCTGTGCCTGCCTGGAATACTTAATTGACCTAATTCCCCCCGGACCTTCTAATATCTTCTCCTACATAGGAGATCCATTCTGATGTGATCAGCAAATTTTC